TTCTCAAATTTTCTCTCAATGATCACATGAGGAGTCACTCAACAATTAATTGACCAGAAAATGACCTTTTTACTTCTTGTCTTCTGTCCAGTTTTCAACTTTAGTACTGTAAATCTACAAATGTGACTTTAGTCAAAGCCACCAGCCGCTGTAATGGGCCATATGTAACACTGTCCTAGATGCTAAATTATCTAGAAACAGTCCTGTGTAGCCAATGTTTGCATAAAGAAAATTGTGGTGTTTCTACTGGAGGTAAGTGTCTAGTTTCTCCTTGATATTTTTGAAGGAATTTGCTCCCATGGAATCAACCTGGCCTTTCTCTCATCGGCCCTTTTGTTATCCGATTATAGAAATGTTTGGGATGGAGGTCTGAGGTCCCTAATGTACATATGTGAGATTGAATCTGTGATTTTCTTTGTGAGGATGTCTTTACCAACACCAAACTGCTGAAGAAAGGCAAAACGTTGGTGTTGAATAAATCCCACCTCATGGTGAGGAATTGTGAATCATGGTGGCACCATGAATGTTATTCCTGAAACTTTTCATTTGGGGGTTATAAGTATAATTCCATAATTTGATTCATCTCAGGAGATGCATGAATTCTACATTTGCCCCAACTGCATTAAATGTGGATAGTAGAAGTACATAACATTGCTTCTTAGGTTGTAAATAAATGCCAGACACTTTCTGATATTTGTTTTTGCCCAACTGCTAAAGAAGCTGTTCATCAAACCGTGATCCCTACCACCAAAGTTGCCCTGTTCAGAAGCCATATGCAACGGCTGATCATATATTTCAGTGGAAGGTCAATAAACAAAGATCCCAGAATTGAAACAGACCAGTCTGAGTCTGGTGCTGCCAATAGCTTCTCTCTCTCTCTAACAGCTCATCAATATTTGCCAGTACCAGAGTGTCTGCCTCCATGAACACACATTATGAATACTGTATTAGTGACCAGTAGGAGAGTTTGGTTAAGATGACACCCAGAAGAGACCTGCGTCTTTTCATTAAGGTTAGGCAAACTGGATCCTCACTGTCCAAGGTGGTGATCATGATCAATACATTGAAAATCTTTTCTAAACTTTCCTGGTTTCAAGCTGGGGAGGCAGTGACTGATCACTGTTGAGTCCAGGAACTCAAGGCACTGCAATGAGAGGGCACCTGAGAGGAACATCTAGATCTTCCTTACTTTTAAAAAAGAATTTAAATCCTTTTTAATAAGTTGTTCTACCAATGTTTGTTCATTTGCCTTAATAGTTTTTTTTGCTATATTGGTCTACCAATCACTAAAAGTTCCTCATGTAATGTCAGTTTCATTCATGATTCAAGGCCCTAAAAATCTCCTCAGGTTGATTAATGAAATTTGTTACATCATTTAAAGGAGGAAAGTATAAACATTTCTTTACATTTTCTTACAAGTTATGAATGGGACACTCTTTAGTCTCTATGTAAAGTCATGTTGATGCATTTAAGAGAAATAATTACTTCTCTCTTATGTTTAGTAACTATTTCTTTGAAAAGGACCAAGGTGTTTCCCTTTTTCTACTTCCTTATTCAGAAATCACCCCCTGTGAGTTACTCAGGCATCCTTTGAAGGGCTGATACTGAGAGAGAGAACTCAGATATGTTCAAAAAATAAAGTTAGGTGAATTGATGGATAGAAGCCCATTGTGTTTTACTCAGAGAAGTCTGAGAAAATGTGGATTCTCCCTTTTATCAGACTAGGATAAGGATCAAAAATAATTCTTTTGGACCAAAACCAAGTGATTAGAATCATGTACCAAGACCCTCTGTAGAATAGGTCCATGTCTCAGTATAATATTCAGTCTTTCATTGGTCACCAATCAGAGTTGATTCCAACTCTCAGGAACACACATTTTTCCATGGGCATGATTTTCCATGGGTTCAATGAGGGATTTTTGGTCAAAGGAGATGGCCAAATGGTCATCTTTTTATTAATAACATGCTAGCATTATTAACAAACTGATAAATTACTGAGAAACTATGCCTCTCAAACTTTTTTATATGTTGCACAAAATGCATTTGAGGTAGCTTTACGCATATAATACTGAAAAAATACAAATAAAATGTATCTGTTGAGGTTTAGAGGTGTAGGAGTACTGGGACCCCAAAATCACAACACCTAGGTCCTGTTTAAATGAATTCAACCCAAGCTTTCTTTCATCCAAAGACAAATTTTATTAGAACACTGTGGTGGGTGAGATTTAAAGAACCTGCCAGATTGGACAGATTCTTAAAGAATCTAAGCATGTGTATTGCTAATGCAACTGGGCCAGATGTTAAGAATCTGAGCCCTTTAATGGAGGACAGACAGACCTTATATACAGAAAGACTGTGGGAGGGATCTAGGAGTGGGCAAGTAGTCTGGGTTGACTAGAGGAGGAGTCTAAGGAGAATCTAGATGGGAGTGGCCATTAAGCTGGGGCAAATTTGAGGTAACAGGACCCCAGGGACCTGGACCACATGGCCAAAGAAGAATGGAGCCCACATAGGATTAAGGGTGGGAAGTAGCTGGGAGCCATAGGGAAGTAAGTAAATGGGGGGCTAGGCTAGGTTAAGTGTAACAGAGAATTGGGAGATTGGGCATAGGAGATAATGAAAGGCCAGTTGTTAGGATTATAGCCTCAGAAGAACCAGAGATTTGACCATGTGGGAAAGTCCAGGACTTTTCCTTTTTGGAATCTGGATGCCAAAGACATGATCTTTACCTTTTGGGGGTTCAGATCCTATCCCATCAGATCCTGTAGAATTTTCTTATTGATCCTTTTTACAACTAATTGATTTTGTCCTATAACTGACTTCATAGTCTCTGCCTCTAAACTTAGTTCAGAATTCCCCTGACCTGTAATGGGTTAAGTTTAGAAATCTAGTTGCCTGCTAACTACTATTGCAATCCTGCCTCAAAGAAGTCTGTTAACCTTGGAAGATATGGTCTGCCATAAAGGAGTCGGGCCTAATATATTTATAACACCTTCAATCCTTCAATGATTTCTGATTTGCTGTCCAAATAAGTCTGGGCCATTATCTTAGGCCTTACAAGTGGACTCAATCAATTAAACACCTCTTAGTCACGGGAAAGAGAGGAGGAGGACTGTTGGCAGCCCTCTAGTTTCTAACCAATTATGATGTTCCCTATACCTCAAATATATAATCAATTATGTTTCCCTTAAGCACATGATGTCACCTATCCTGTTATGTTCTTTGCTCTGTGGTCACCAAAAACCTCTAAAAGGGTAACTGTCCTTTTGCTTGAGGTCTTTGACTGGAGACTGGGATGGCCATTGAACCATCTTATTCTGAGGTTATTAATCTTGATAATAAAATGTTATTGTCTTAGAGAAATGTGCCTTAGTTAATCTTTTTTTTTAATTTCAATCTCAACAATATTTAATAATTATGGCTATTTTTTTAATGTGTTAAAATGTCAGAGAAATTACTCATTATGTTCATAACATGGTAATCATACACAGAACACACCTCAGCAATATTGGAGAGTCTCATTCATGGAGAAACAGAAGGGCAAATCAGCAACAAGCTTTTATTAAGCACTTACTATGTGCCAGGAATGATGCCAAGAATTGGGGATATAAAAGCAAAAAACAGTCTCTGTTTTTAAGGGAGTTTAGTCTCATTCAGGGAGACAACAGGAAAGCAATTATGCTCACAATATATATATATATATGTGTGTGTGTGTGTGTGTGTGTATATATATATATATATATATATATATATATATATATATATATATATATATATATATATATATATATATATATATATACACATACAGGATATGTCCAGCACAAAGACATGGGAATTAAGATTAGAGAAGATATAAGTGGGCAGAATTTCAGGTGAGATTTGAAAAAACCCAAAAGGGAGAAGTGGCATGGATGAGGAGGAGAAGAATTCTTTTTTCTTTTTTTTGGGGGGGGGGGGTGGCAGGAAGAGATGGGGGGACAGGGAGGCAATTGGGGTGAAGTGACTTGCCCAAAGTCACAAAGCTAGCAAATATCAAGTGTCTGAGACCAGATTTGAAATCAGGTCCTCCTGACTCTAGGGCTGGTGTTCCACTAGCTGCCCCTAGGAGAAGAATTTCAACCAGTGAAAGCACATGAAGTAGGGAAATGAAATCTCTTGTGAAAGGAGCAGCAAGGAGGTCAGCATCACTTAATTGCCAAGTATGAGGAAGGAAGCAAGGTAGAATAAGATAGGAAAGATATGAAGGGGCCATGCTATGAAAGGTTGTAAAAGCCAAATAGGATTTTATATTTTGTCCTGGAGGTAATACAGAGTCACTGGAATTTGGGGAAAATGGTCAGATCTGTGCTTTAGGAAGATAATTTTGATTGTTAAATGTAGTACGGACTATAGTGAAGTGAGTACTAAAGCTGGGAGAACAACCAGCAGGCTAGAATAATAGTGCAGGTTGAACTGGTAAGGGCCTACCTCAGGGCGGTTGAGGTATCTTGAGGACAGAAGGGACAGTATACTAGATGTGTGAGGAAAGTAGAATTTACAAGACATAACTACCAATTAAATATGGGGTAGCACTGGGAGTCAGAGTCAGGCATTAAAATGATAGTGGGCAACTGGAAAAGTTGCTTTCTCCTGGGATAGAAGAAAAAAGCAACACAGGCCATAAATAAAAATGGTTCATACTCTCTCTACACCTGTTACTGGATATAGGCACCTTGTATTATGTGCATCATGAGCTCAACCCCCTTCAGGCTTCACTGGCACCAAACCTTCAGGCAGAGGATGTTTCTGTGTAGTCTCACATTCCTTTTCCTTACTGTGTCTCTTGCACAGTAATACACAGCTATATCCTCAGTCTTACGGGAAGTCATCTGTAGATATAGCATGCTGTTGCCATCATCTCTGGAGATGGTGAATCAGCCTTTAGTGGAGTCTGCATAGTGTGTACTACTTCCACCAATGGTAATGGTTGCAACCCATTCCAGTCCCTTCCCTGGAGCTTAAAGGACCCAGTTCATCCAGTAGCTACTGAAGGTAAATCCAGAAGCTTTGCAGGAGAGATGCAGAGAACCTCCAGGCTGTGTCACATCTCCCCCAGACTCCACCAGCTGCACATCACACTGGACACCTGCAACACAGAGACATTGTATTAAAGTCAATAGTCACATGAAGTCACCATTCATGTTGTCCCTCCATCTCCATAAAACTACCTTGGAAAATAATCAGAAAAAAAATCAGTTCAGTCTAAATTTCATGGTGAGTTTCCAGGTTAGTCCTCTTTGTGGAAGGACACAAAGAGCTTGAGCTTGTCTCCCAGAGGATGTACAGGTACATGTTTGGGGCTGCTTTGCATCCTAGTAGAGACGGACCCAATTTGCATGTCTTGTTCTGTTCAAAAAGAGGAAGAACATCTTCCTCCCAGGGAAAAGTCTCTTTCTTGAACTTCAGAGAAAGTTCTCTAGAGCTGGTTCCAAAGCACTGGTGACACTGAGTTTCCCAGAGGTGATGGTTTTGACTCAGTATCAATCACACCACATCACTTCAATAACTCTAAACAGTTAGATCTCATGTAGTAGGCCTTTCTGTGTAACTAAAAAACTTCTTATCAATCTTAATCTCATTTGTGATTGTCAAAGCTCCTCAACCATCTTCATATTTTCAATGAACAATAGATTGAATCTGTTCTATGAATCACTTTCTTTTCAGGGTCTCTTGTCTGGATTCTTGGCACCTCCATTGTTTTCTGAGTCTTCTTTTTCTTTCCCTTTACCTAAAATTACATGTCACTTAAATTATTTACCCACAGACCCAGTTATATTCCCCCATTACCTTGCTAGAAGCCACTCATGTTCCTCATTTCATTCTTCTAAAGTCACAGTGTTCATTAAGAAAATTGCAAGGCTCCTCTAAGAATCACCTTGTCCTCAGAAGGACATATTCTGTTTGATAAGAGAGGGAAACTTTTATCCTCTGTGACACTGACTTTATCGTCTGATTTATGGAGAAAATATGGCTCAGATCTCTATGAGATGATCCTCATATTTCAAGTACCATTCTCATTACTCAGAATATCCAGCCGTACTGCCACCTATTGAAAATTTAACTGTTTACTCAGCCACATTTTTTCACTCTCACTTCCACTTACCTTTTTTTTTTCCCAGAAGAGGGATTTGTAATTTCAGAGTCCTTATGCTTTTAGAGAGCTAGATCTAGAGATCTTTTAGGGATCATCACTATTTTGAAGGATTCAACTCAGTGGAAAAAAGCCGCTAATCCCTCTGCTGGTCACCATTATAGCTATGGAATCTTCATCACTAAGCAGGAGGAGTCTGAGCCATGTCTTTTTGTTTTCTCTTCCCTCTTATTGTGATTACATTTGAGATGATTCCTTATTGTATTACTTACTAAATAATGGATAATTTATAATATATCTGAACTGTGAATGGAGTTCAATAACTGTAGAAGAGAAAAATTCATGATGGTCCTCTTCAAGTGCTGAGTCCATGAATCACTGTTTCAGACATGCAAGTGTAAGGGTCATAGATGTTAGACTTTTCCCATTTCAGATATAAAATATCACCTTATGTTTCCTATTCACAGACAGTAAATGTTGCAAAACTTGAGAGTGTCCCACTCAATGTTTGTAAGGAAATTAAAAAAATATATATTTATATTATTTTTACTTCCTTAGTTGACATGAACAATTTCAATCAACATGAGAGTATTTAGGGTCCTTGTTTATATGATGGAGGCAACTGATGCCACATGGGCAAAGTCTAGATTAGCCAAGTCTTTTTGGTTGATATTAAAATGCAATCTATCCACTTCTGTGGTGAACAGAGGGAGAGTCAGCTATACTGCTTAAAGTTGAGCTAAGGAAAAAGAACTGTCTAGGGGATATAATTGTAAGACCTGCCCCGCAAAGCTACTGTTCCCACAAAGAGAAATATGGAAGTTTCACAATAAGAAAAAGAAAGTCAGGGTATTAAAGTGGCAAAGACATCAATTGGCTTGGCTATATGTATTCTTCATATGTATCTTTCAACTAGCATATTCTATGCAAGTGCCCACTCTTCCTCTGAACTCTGTGTGGGAAAATGTGCCTCATGCTGATAGTTAGAAAGCTCATACCATATAACTTTTGTCATTGCTTTGAACTAATTTGTCAGCTGGTTTGGTCCCATGAGTGTGGACTTATAACTACTTGAGGTATCTCTTGAATATCCAACCTGAAAAAACAATTTGAGGAATAGGAATAGGAGGATGCTACATTGGAAAACACATTTTTTTTCCCCTGGTATCAGAAAAAATGGCTCTAAACAAATTGTAAAGCAGCAGAACCCACAAAAAGACAGACTGAAACAATTTATTGATTGTTTCTATGATTTGTTGTTTGACCCAATCATTTTTTAGGATTAGATTATTTAGTTTACAATTATTTTTTAGTCTATCTTTCCATGGCCCTTTATTACATATATTTTTTATTGCATCATGGTCTGAAAAGGATGCATTTAATATTTCTGCCTTTCTGCATTGGATTGTGAGGTTTTTATGCCCTAGTACATGGTCAATTTTTGTGTATGTGCCATGTACTGATGAGAAAAAAGTATATTCCTTTCTATCCCTATTCAGTTTTCTCCAGAGGTCTATCATACCTAACTTTTCTAATGTTCTATTCACCTCCTTAACTTCTTTCTTGTTTATTTTGTGGTTAGACTTATCTAGTGCCAAGAGGGGGAGGTTCAGGTCCCCCACTAGTATAGTTTTGCTGTCTATTTCTTCCTGTAACTCCCTGAACTTCTCCTGTAAGAATTTGGATGCTATACCATTTGGTGCATATAATTTAGTAATGATATTACTTCATTGTCTATGGTGCCTTTTAGCAGGATGTAGTTTCCTTCCTTATCTCTTTTGATTAGATCTATTTTTGCTTTTGCTTTGTCTGAGATCAGGATTGCTACCCCTGCTTTTTTTACTTCAGCTGAGCATAATATATTCTGCTCCAGCCTTTTACCTTTACCCTGTATGTGTCACTCTTTTTCAAATGTGTTTCCTGTAAACAACATATTGTAGGATTATGGTTTTTAATCCATTCTGCAATCCGTTTCTGTTTTATGGGAGAGTTCATCCCATTCACATTCACAGTTATGATTACTATCTGTGTCTTTTTCTCCATCCTTTTCCCCCATTTATGCTTTTCTTTCTCCTTTTTCCTTTCTCCCCTTCACTAGTGTTTTGCTTTTGACCAGCCTCCTTCAGTCCCTTCCCCTTTTATTATCCCTTTCCCTTTTCTTCCCCTTTAGTCTTACTGCTGCTTCCCTCCCTTCTTTCCCCTCCCTTTTCTTTCCCCCTCCCTTTTCTTTCCCCTTTTCCCTCCTACTGCCTATAGGGCAAGTTAGATTTCTATACTAACTGATTATATTATGCCCTTCTTGAGCCTAATCTGATGAGAGTAAGGTTCAAACAATGCTCCCCCCTTTCCCTCTGCTGTAATAGGATTTTGTGTCTTTTCCTGTAATGTAATTTACCCTTGTCTGCCTCCTCCTTTTCAGTACCTTTTCTAAGATTAGATTGATCCACTTATTTGGATCCATTTAACTTGATTAGATTTTTTTTTATCATTACATCAAAGTCAACTAATATCCACCCTCTTTATGTATACTCCTTTAACAAGGTGTAATAACAATACAGTTCTCAAGGGTTGCAAGTCTCATATTCCCTTGTAGGGGTTTAAACAGCCCCCCCCCTTATTAACAACATATTGTATCCTTCTGTCCCATTTACCTTTTTAAGTCCTTCTTGAGTCCTGTACTTGAAGATCAAATTTTTTGTTGAGCTCTGGTCTTTTTATCAGGAAAGTTTGGAAGTCTCCTATTTCGTTGAATATCCACCTCCTCCCTTGAAAAATGATGCTCATTTTTGCTGGGTAATTGATCCTTGGCTGCATTCCAAGCTCCTTTGCCTTTCGGAATATCATGTTCCATGCCCTGCGGTCTTTTAATGTAGAAGCTGCAAGGTCCTGTGTAATCCTGACTGTGGTTCCATGATATTTAAATTCTTTCTTTCTGGCTGCTTGCAGCACCTTCTCTTTCATCTGGTAATTTTGGAATTTTGCTATTATATTTCTTGGCGTTGTCAATTTGGGATCTCTTTCAGGTGGTGATCGTGGATTCTTTCTATGGTTATTTTCCCTTCTGGTTCTAGGACTTCTGGGCAGTTTTCCTTTATGATTTCCTGAAAGATACTGTCCAGGCTCTTTTTTTCATCATGATTTTCAGGTAGTCCAATAATTTTTAAATTGTCTCTCCTGAGTCGATTTTCCAGGTCGGTTGTTTTACTGATGAGGTATTTTACATTTTCATTGATTTTTTCATTTTTTTGTTTCTGTTTGACTGATTCTTGCTCTCTCATAGAGACATTAGTTTCCATTTGTCCAATTCTAGTTTTTAACAGATTGTTTTCTTCTGTTAGTTTTTGTACTTCCTTCTTCAACTGGCCAATTGTGTTTTTTAGGGACTTGTTTCCTTCAGCATACTCTTCTGTTAGATTTTGTACTTCCTTCTTCAACTGGCCAATTGTGTTTTTTAGGGACTTGTTTTCTTCAGTGTACTCTTCTGTTAGTTTTTGTCCTTCCTTCTTCAATTGGCCAATTGTGTTTTTTAGGGACTTGTTTTCTTCAGTGTATTTTTTTTCCAACTGGCCAATTGTATTTTTGAAGGACTCTTTTACCTCTCTCATTTGACTATTAAAATCCTTCTTGAGCTCTTCTAAGAAGGCTTTTTGGGCTTCAGACCAGTTCATATTCCCTTTTGTTGTTGCAGATGTGGGTTTGTTGACAATGTTGTCCTCTTCAGAATTTCTGTCTTGATCTTCACTCTTCTCATAATATGAATCTATGGTATTTTCTTTTTACTCATGGTGTTTCTTATTCCCTGGCCTTTAAAGAGATTGAGCTCTCCTGCTGGGGAACAGAGGGTACTGACCCAAGCTTCTTGTGTTGGGAGCCTAGGTCTTGGTCACTGGCTTTGCGTTCTGGGGCCTCTTATGCTGGGATTGGAGCTGTAGGTTTCTGGCAGCTTACCTTGTGTTGGGCTGCAATCAGCAAGGCTGGAACTTTCAGGCAATTCT